AGTAAGAGTAGAGTAAGAGTAGAGTAAGAGTTAGAGTAAGAGTAGAGTAAGAGTAGAGTAAGAGTAGAGTAAGAGTAGAGTAAGAGTAGAGTAAGAGTAGAGTAAGAGTAGAGAAGAGTAGAGTAAGAGTAGAGTAAGAGTAGAGTAAGAGTAGAGTAAGAGTAGAGTAAGAGTAGAGTAAGAGTAGAGTAAGAGTAGAGTAAGAGTAGAGTAAGAGTAGAGTAAGAATAGAGTAGAGTAAGTAAGAGTAGAGTAAGAGTAGAGTAAGAGTAGAGTAAGAGTAGAGTAAGAGTAGATAAGAGTAGAGTAAGAGTAGAGTAGAGTAGAGTAAGAGTAGAGTAAGAGTAGAGTAAGAGTAGAGTAAGAGTAGAGTAAGAGTAGAGTAAGAGTAGAGTAAGAGTAGAGTAAGAGTAGAGTAGAGTAAGAGTAGAGTAAGAGTAAGAGTAGAGTAAGAGTAGAGTAAGAGTAGAGTAAGAGTAGAGTAAGAGTAGAGTAAGAGTAGAGTAAGAGTAGAGTAGAGTAGAGTAAGAGTAGAGTAAGAGTAGAGTAAGAGTAGAGTAAGAGTAGAGTAAGAGTAGAGTAAGAGTAGAGTAAGAGTAGAGTAAGAGTAGAGTAAGAGTAGAGTAAGAGTAGAGTAAGAGTAGAGTAAGAGTAGAGTAAGAGTAGAGTAAGAGTAGAGTAAGAGTAGAGTAAGAGTAGAGTAAGAGTAGAGTAAGAGTAGAGTAAGAGTAGAGTAAGAGTAGAGTAAGAGTAGAGTAAGAGTAGAGTAAGAGTAGAGTAAGAGTAGAGTAAGAGTAGAGTAAGAGTAGAGTAACTAGTAAGAGTAGAGTAAGAGTAGAGTAAGACTAGAGTAAGAATAGAGTAAGAGTAGAGTAAGAGTAGAGTAAGAGTAGAGTAAGAGTAGAGTAAGAGTAGAGTAAGAGTAGAGTAAGAGTAGAGTAGAGTAAGAGTAGAGTAAGAGTAGAGTAGAGTTAAGAGTAGAGTAAGAGTAGAGTAAGAGTAGAGTAAGAGTAGAGTAAGAGTAGAGTAAGAGTAAGAGTAGAGTAAGAGTAGAGTAAGAGTAGAGTAAGAGTAGAGTAAGAGTAGAGTAAGAGTAGAGTAAGAGTAGAGTAAGAGTAGAGTAAGAGTAGAGTAAGAGTAGAGTAAGATCAGAGTAAGAGTAGAGTAAGAGTAGAGTAAGAGTAGAGTAAGAGTAGAGTAAGAGTAGAGTAAGAGTAGAGTAAGAGTAGAGTAAGAGTAGAGTAAGAGTAGAGTAAGAGTAGAGTAAGAGTAGAGTAAGAGTGGAGTAAGAGTAGAGTAAGAGTAGAGTAAAAGTAGAGTAAGAGTAGAGTAAGAGTACTCTACTTTTACTAATAAATGATGCAAAATATTGCCACTAAGATAATTATTTACCATGATATTATTTATGCGATTGACAAATTTATGACATATCATAAATGTTTTTATCATGACGTGTATAGGGTTAATCTTTTGTATCACATTATCAAACCACAATAAATTGAAATATTATTTAATATTTCTTTAATTAAATAATCGCTTATAAATTCCTAGTTTTACGGCTTTCACAGTGAAACTTATTAAAATACAAAAAAATCTTTCCATGTGTTTAGAATTTCAACGGTGAAAAATAACAACAATGTTTTAAAAAATCATTTAAAAATTTTTGATATTTTTTATTAAATATTTATTTCGTTTCAATTTAGAATTTTGTTTTTCTAGCCATATAGGGAATAAGAACTCATACTCTCATACATATTTATTCGATTGAAAATGTATTCGACTAGTTCTGACCAAAATTTAATGTAGAAATGAAATAAATATTTAATTTGTATCGTGTTTGACAAGTATCTCTTTAATTTCGTTTTTACTTTTTGAATTTTATTAAGAACTAAATTATGTGTGTATGATTTTATGTTATTTACGATCTTTGTGTGAAATCGATTTGCATTTTGGTGATTGTAGAACTGTTTGAGGAAAAACAAGTTGGTATTAAGAGTGGCGAAATGCTGAAAGCTGACAGATAACACATCGAATTAAAATCAAAATACGTCTTAAGCATGATTTTTCATAACTTTAGATCTCATGTTTTAAATTTTAAATGGTTTAATTAGAAAGGAATACCCATAAATGACGTAAATTTTACTTCCGGTCTTGAATTATAAATAAAGTTAGATAACAATTTAAATCTTGTAACTAATAATATTTAAAATGATGAAATTAATTTAGAATAATTTATGTTAGTTTAATTCAAAATTATATTCTGCCTATAAACACGGAAATTATAGGCAATTTTTCGAAAAGTTGTAATATTATTTTATTTTTTTGAATACGCATCTATTAGAGTAGAACAAGTAAATACGTATGGGCATGGTCAGTCAAATAATATCCTACATCATTTATGCGTGTATTGTATTGCCTTGATTTCGATAGGGGGCTTTATACGTTGGCTAGAGTCAAATGCAAACCAATCCTAACAATATTTAATTGAGGATTTTATATCTTTATCTAAGTTAGGGTGCCGATTTTCATGGTAATACTACTGTTATTTGGAGATTATCGACGTTGAAGCCATTTTCTAAGGAGGAGGAGTAAGAGTAAAGTAAGAGTAGTGTAAGAGTAGTGTAAGAGTAGAGTAAGAGTAGAGTAAGAGTAGAGTAAGAGTAGAGTAAGAGTAGAGTAAGAGTAGAGTAAGAGTAGAGTAAGAGTAGAGTAGAGTAGAGTAGAGTAGAGTAGAGTAGAGTAGAGTAGAGTAGAGTAGAGTAGAGTAGAGTAAGAGTAAGAGTAAGAGTAAGAGTAAGAGTAAGAGTAAGAGTAAGAGTAAGAGTAAGAGTAAGAGTAAGAGTAAGAGTAGAGTAGAGTAAGAGTAAGAGTAGAGTAAGAGTAAGAGTAGAGTAAGAGTAAGAGTAGAGTAAGAGTAGAGTAAGAGTAGAGTAAGAGTAGAGTAAGAGTAGAGTAAGAGTAGAGTAAGAGTAGAGTAAGAGTAGAGTAAGAGTAGAGTAAGAGTAGAGTAAGAGTAGAGTAAGAGTAGAGTAAGAGTAGAGTAAGAGTAGAGTAAGAGTAGAGTAAGAGTAGAGTAAGAGTAGAGTAAGAGTAGGGTAAGAGTAGAGTAAGAGTAGAGTAAGAGTAGAGTAAGAGTAGAGTAAGAGTAGAGTAAGAGTAGAGTAAGAGTAGAGTAAGAGTATAGTAAGAGTAGTGTAAGAGAAGATAAAGAGTAGAGTAAACATATATATGTTGAGAATATATTAAAAGTGGAGATTTCCCTGGTAGCTGGTTCTATAAAATCAAAATCAATGTGTCCATTTAGTATGAAAGAAAGGGCAATAACCTGTTTCTATTTTATTTATAAACAATAAAATTACAAAAAAATAAGAAAACAAATCTTAACCATCTGCCTGTCACGCTTTAATGGCATTAGCTTTAACGGTGCTTTAGAGTTTGATATTCAGTTAAAAAATTCCAACCTCTCACAATTAAATTAAACGACTATTTTTATTTGTTTACTAAATTTTGGCTGTAAGACTAACTTCCTAGCTTATAAGCTTTAGAATGCCTATATGTTAGTAATCTGGTTTAGACTTTCTGGTTTTAAGAAATTATGGACAAATTCCTCATAAAAATTAAATGTATTACAATTTTACAAAATATTATGTAATTTTCCGTTTTGTTTTAGTCTATTTTTGGCCAAATAAAAAATTAACATAAACTCTACAGTTTGTTTTAGTTTATAATAAAATAGCAATTCATCATTTATTAAGCACTTTGAAACAATAAATTTAAACTTTTGTTTTTTTTTTTAAAAGAAAACAACGTATGACAAAATAAGAATATATTTTCAAAAATACTACTTTTAAAGATTCTTAAAGATTTAAATCAAAATCAATAATAGAAAAACAAAATAAATTAGAAAAAAACGCTCACTTCTGACTAAATAAAAAAAATTAATTTAACCAACTAATTTGAATAAATTAAAATACAGTTTTATGTTAGAATTATAATAATAGAACCATAATAGTATTTAAAAAATATACAAAGATAAATATTTTCTAAAAAAAAAACTAGTAAGAAACTAATTGATTTTAAGAAGCAGTGGTTAACGATGTAAGTTGAACCCTACTAAAGGAAATTGCTTAAGTATAGGATTCTAAGTTATAAAATGGGGTTTAATTAGAGTTTAGAGTTCTTAAGAAGTTCAGCTGAAACTCGAGTTCTTATGTAGTTCTAGAAAAATTCTATTAGAACTCGTTAAGAGTTTAGGCTCTACTAAAGCTTTAGTAAAGTTTAAAGATAGTTCGTCTAAGGTTCGAAGAGGATTCTACTAGAAGTCGTTTATAGATCAAGTCGAGCTCAGGAGGGTTTTATATAACAATTTGTAGGTAAATTTCTATTAGAGTTCGAGTATAATTACGATAAAGAAAGTTTCAGTTGAAAATATTTTATCTTTGCAATTGAAATATTAACACTACCCACTGTAGGGTGCACACCAAAAGAACCATCACCCAAAAAATTGTTAAAAATTTGTTTTTGGTGATTTTTATATCTTTTTAATATTGCCTGTCAATACAAAATGTATCGCTTAAGAATCAAGATTTAATGGAAAATGTTGTGATGGTGTTATTCTACCGAAGCCGGTTGTTAAAGTGACGATCACCTAGAGTTGGTGTTAACGCCAGATTTAACGCTTCTTCTGCTGATCAACATCATTATGATCAGCAAAACAAAACCTCATTATGAGCAACTAAAACACATAGACTTCTCTTCACTGAGAAACAGAGCATCAACAAGATCAAAAGCAAAAGAACAATCTACAATCAATCGACTAAAACTACGATAAATATTAAATTTAAAATATGTACTAAGAACAAAACACATACTATTTTTAAATCGAAATATTTGTCATCTCAGTGTACAGGTATATGAACATCATAATGATGCTACACTGCTGCTGATGATGATGATAATGCTGATCATGATGTTGTTTTGCTCATGATCATAATGACGATGTTTTTGGCAGCATCAGCAGCAGCTTATAGTTTAATATCGAACGCCATAAAAGCTTTTAAAAATGTTCTCATATTGTAACATCCTTAACTTGATTTTTTTTCTTTATTCATTTGAGTTTTTTTTTTCTTTGGCGATATAAATAATTTCGCAATCTAAATTAACCACACAGTCATTCGTCGACATTCGTTGTGTGGATTAGAATCGAATTCGTCGCATAAATACAATATGGTAAGAATTTAAAGGATTTAACGGTGTGTGTGAATACAGTGTGTAATAAAAGTGATTTAAAGAGCTGACAAAAAAAGAAAAGAAAAGTTTCAACCTTGAAAAAAAAAACAACAAATAATTAAGATAAAATTTCATGCTCCATTTATAAAAAAAAAAATTATATGAAATGAAAAATACTAGAGCATTGAAACCGATTTTTGAAAAAAAATTTTAACATCATGTGGAATATTGAAAATAAAATGTTTATAATTTTAATTGTGTGTTATGTGTTTATTGTGTTTGATTTCAGAAATTTTTAATTGCTCTGGCCTTAGTGGCTTGCGTCAGTGCTGACGTTTCACACTTGTTTGATCACAGCAATAACTTGCAAGAAGATGGTTATCACTACGATCATCCAGTTGTTGATATACCCTTCCCCCAATATGAAGCCCCCAAGACCGTAGCTCCTAAACCAGTTGCTCCCAAACCAGTAGCACCCAAGCCTGTGGCTCCCAAGGCTGGTGTTTTGGAAGAAGATGGTTACCACTATGAATCCCCCAAGAAGGCTTTTGAACCAGCTAGACCTATCATTCCAGCTGCTCCAGTTGTTCCTGCTAAGCCTTTCATTCCTGCTAGCCCTAAAAACGAATACTTGCCTCCTGTAGTCAAGCCCGCTGCTCCGGCTGTTGTACCCAAGAAGCCCGTTCCTGCTCCCAAACCTGTTGCTCCTAAACCAGTTGCTCCCAAGAACGAATACTTGCCTCCTCAACCTAAACCAGCTCCAGCTCCTAAACCTGTTGCTCCTAAGCCAGCTCCTGCTCCCAAACCAGTTGCTCCTAAAGCTGGTGTTTTGGAAGAAGATGGTTACCACTATGAAGCTCCCAAGAAGGCTTTTGAACCTGCTCCCAAGAACGAATACTTGCCTCCTGTAGTCAAGCCAGCTGCTCCCGCTGTTGTTCCCAAGAAGCCAGTTCCTGCTCCTAAGCCTGTTGCTCCCAAACCAGTAGCTCCCAAGAATGAATACTTGCCCCCTCAACCCAAGCCAGCTCCAGCTCCCAAACCAGTTGCTCCCAAGCCAGCTCCTGCTCCCAAACCAGTTGCTCCTGCACCCAAGCCAGCTCCTGCTCCCAAACCAGTTGCTCCCAAAGCTGGTGTTTTGGAAGAAGATGGTTACCACTATGAAGCTCCCAAGAAGGCTTTTGAACCTGCTCCCAAGAACGAATACTTGCCTCCTGTAGTCAAGCCAGCTGCTCCTGCTGTTGTACCTAAGAAGCCAGTTCCTGCTCCTAAGCCTGTTGCTCCCAAACCAGTTGCTCCCAAGAATGAATACTTGCCACCTCAATCTAAGCCAGTTGCTCCTAAGCCAGCTCCTGCTCCCAAACCAGTAGCTCCCAAGAACGAATACTTGCCTCCTCAACCCAAACCAGCTCCAGCTCCCAAACCTGTTGCTCCCAAGCCAGCTCCTGCTCCTAAGCCAGCTCCTGCTCCCAAACCAGTTGCTCCCAAAGCTGGTGTTTTGGAAGAAGATGGTTACCACTATGAAGCTCCCAAGAAGGCTTTTGAACCTGCTCCCAAGAACGAATACTTGCCTCCTGTAGTCAAGCCCGCTGCTCCAGCTGTTGTTCCCAAGAAGCCCGTTCCTGCTCCCAAACCAGTAGCTCCCAAACCAGCTCCCGCTCCTAAGCCAGTAGCTCCTAAAAACGAATACTTGCCTCCTCAACCCAAACCAGCACCAGCTCCCAAACCTGTTGCTCCTAAGCCAGCTCCAGCTCCCAAACCAGTAGCTCCCAAAGCTGGTGTTTTGGAAGAAGATGGTTACCACTATGAAGCTCCCAAGAAGGCTTTTGAACCCGCCCCCAAGAAGGAATACTTGGCCCCTGTAGTCAAGCCTGCTGCTCCAGCTGTAGTTCCGCAGAAACCAGTTGCCCCCAAGAACGAGTACTTGCCTCCTCAACCTAAACCAGCTCCCAAACCAGCTCCTGCCCCTAAGCCAGTAGCTCCCAAACCTGCTCCCAAGCCCGTTGCTCCCTCAAAGCCCAACAACGAATACTTGCCTCCTCAACCCAAACCAGTAGCTCCCAAACCAGCCCCCAAACCCGCCCCTAAGCCAGCTCCCAAAAACGAATACTTGCCTCCTGTAGTCAAGCCTGCCGCCCCTGCTCCTAAGCCAGTAGCTCCCAAACCTGCCCCCAAGCCAGTAGCTCCCTCTAAGCCCAACAACGAATACTTGCCCCCTCAACCCAAGAAGGAACCCGAAGGTTACTTCTATCCCAACAACCCTCAACCTTCTTTTACTTTCTAAATTATTAAATTAATTTAATATCCTGTCTTTTTTTAATTAGTTAAAAAATTTATCGTAAAAGATCCAAAAAATGTTTATAGTTTAGTTTAAGAATCTGTTTTCTATTTTTTACATAAAATGCGCCATATATTTAAAATGAAAACATTGTAAATGATTAAAAAAAATTAAAAGAAAAAACTCGAGTTTGTTGGTATCTTTTCTATGCAAAGAACCAAACAAGTTAAATATTACGAAATAATAAAAAAATGTTAAAATATTAAAAAAAAAAAAATTATTAATTTATTGACTTTTATTTGTAAATGAAACAACACAGAAAATATTCTATTCAGAAACATGCATATTTATTAATGTTTTTGTTTTATTAATACCAAAGTTCAGAACCAGCTTTAAAATTTAGAAAAATAAATTCAAAACCTGCTAGATCATCCATCCAAACGCAAACAAGTTGTGTTCGCACTAATTAAAACATTTTTGAAAAGAAAATTATTTAACTTAAATCTGGATACAAAGAATAAATTAGTATTGTCACTCTTTTTTTAATTTAATTTATGCTAATTTATCGAAATATTTAGAATGTCTTAGAATTATTTAATTTTGCGGTTTTCTTTTATACTTTCGAATATGTTTGTGATACTAATATAACTTAGAAACTTAATTGTAATTAACTTAATGGGTGACATAATACGGGAGATTAGATTATGCTTGATATTAAACGAGAATATAAGTGATCAAAAACAGAATTAATTTTTTAAATTAACGCTTCAGAGATATCATAAAATCATTAAGTATTTAAGGTTTTCGAAGTAAATTGTATGTAACAAATCGAAGTAAATTATAACAAATTCTAACTTTGATCAAACAAGCATCATAATTCGAACTTTTAATTCAAATCTTATACTTACTTATACTTCAGTTCTAGTTCAGTTCTAATTCTGTTCTAATGCAGTTCTGTTTCAGTTCTATTTCTGTTCTATTTCTGTTCTAGTTCAGTTCTGGTTCAGTTCTAGTTCAGTTCTAGTTCAGTTCTAGTTCAGTTCTAGTTCAGTTCTAGTTCAGTTCTAGTTCAGTTCTAGGTCTGTTCTAGATCAGTTCTAGTTCAGTTCTAGGTCTGTTCTAGATCAGTTCTAGATCAGTTCTAGTTCAGTTCTAGTTCAGTTCTAGTTCAGTTCTAGTTTAGTTCTAGTTCAGTTCTAGTTAGTTCTATTTCTGTTCTAGTTCAGTTTTAGTTCTTTTCTAGTTCTGTTCTAGTTCTGTTCTAGTTCTGTTCTAGTTCTGTTCTAGTTCAGTTCTAGTTCTGTTCTAGTTCTGTTCTAGTCTGTCTAGTTCTGTTCTAGTTCTTCAGTTCTGTTCTAGTTCTGTTCTAGTTCTGGTCTAGTTCTGTCTAGTTTCTGTTCTAGTTCTGTTTCTAGTTCTGTTCTAGTTCTGTTCTAGTTCTGTTCTAGTTCTGTTCTAGTTCCTGTTCTAGTTCTGTTCTAGTTCTGTTCTAGTTCTATTCTAGTTCTGTTCTAGTTCTAGTTCTGTTCCTAGTTCTGTTCTAGTGTCTGTTCTAGTTCTGTTCTAGTTCTGTTCTAGTTCTGTTCTAGTTCTGTTCTAGTTCTGTTCTAGTTCTGTTCTAGTTCTGTTCTAGTTCTGCTCTAGTTCTGTTTCTAGTTCTGTTTCTAGTTCTGTTCTAGTTCTGTTCTAGTTCTGTTCGAGTTCTGTTCTAGTTCTGTTCTAGTTTCTGTTCTAGTTCTGTTCTAGTTCTGTTCTAGTTCTGTCTAGTTGTTCTAGTTCTGTTCTAGTTCTGTTCTAGTTCTGTTCTAGTTCTGTTCTAGTTTCTAGTTCTGTTCCAGTTCTGTTTTAGTTCTGTTCTAGTTCTGTTCTAGTTCTGTTCTAGTTCTGTTCTAGTTCTGTTCTAGTTCTGTTCTAGTCTGTTCTAGTTCTGTTCTAGTTCTGTTCTAGTTCCGTACTAGTTCAGTTCTAGTTCTGTTCTAGTTCTGTTCTAGTTCTGTTCTAGTTCTGTTCTAGTTCTGTCTAGTTCTGTTCTAGTTCTGTTCTAGTTCTGTTGTAGTTCTGTTGTAGTTCTGTTCTAGTTCTGTTCTAGTTCTGTTCTAGTTCTGTTCCAGTTCTGTTCTAGTTCTGTTTTAGTTCTGTTTTAGTTCTGTTCTAGTTCTAGTTTTGTTCTAGTTCTGTTCTAGTTCTGTTTTACTTCTGTTCTAGTTCTGTTCTAGTTCTGTTCTAGTTCTGTTCTAGTTCTGTTCTAGTCCTGCTCTAGTTCTGTTCTAGTTCTGTTCTAGTTCTGTTCTAGTTCTGTTCTAGTTCTGTTCTAGTTCTGTTCTAGTTCGTTCTAGTTCTGTTCTAGTTTTGTTCTAGTTCTAGTTCTGTTCTAGTTCTGTTCTAGTTCTGTTCTAGTTCTGTTCTAGTTCTGTGTCTAGTTCTGTTCTAGTTCTGTTCTAGTTCTGTTCTAGTTCTGTTCTAGTTCTGTTCTAGTTCTGTTCTAGTTCTGTTCTAGTTCTGTTCTAGTTCTGTTCTAGCTCTGTTCTAGTTCTGTTCTAGTTCTGTTCTAGTTTCTGTTCTAGTTCTGTTCTAGTTCTGTTCCAGTTCTGTTCTAGTTCTGTTCTAGTTCTGTTCTAGTTCTGTTCTAGTTCTGTTCTAGTTCTGTACTAGTTCATTCTAGTTCTGTTCTAGTTCTGTTTCTAGTTCGTTCTAGTTCTGTTCTAGTTCTGTTCTAGTTCTGTTCCAGTTCTGTTCTAGTTCTGTTTTAGTTCTGTTTTAGTTCTGTTCTAGTTCTAGTTTTGTTCTAGTTCTGTTTTACTTCTGTTCTAGTTCTGTTCTATTTCTGTTCTAGTTTCTGCTCTAGTTCTGTCTGTTCTAGTTCTGTTCTAGTTCTGTTCTAGTTTCTGTTCTAGTTCTGTTCTAGTTCTGTTCTAGTTCTGTTCTAGTTCTGTTCTAGTTCTGTTCTAGTGCTGTTCTAGTTCTGTTCTAGTTCTCTTCTAGTTCTGTTCTAGTTCTGTTCTAGTTCTGTTCTAGTTCTGTTCTAGTTCTGTTCTAGTTCTGTTGTAGTTCTGTTGTAGTTCTCTTCTAGTTCTGTTCTAGTTCTGTTCTAGTTCTGTTCCAGTTCTGTTCTAGTTCTGTTTTAGTTCTGTTTTAGTTCTGTTCTAGTTCTAGTTTTGTTCTAGTTCTGTTCTAGTTCTGTTTTACTTCTGTTCTAGTTCTGTTCTAGTTCTGTTCTAGTCCTGCTCTAGTTCTGTTCTAGTTCTGTTCTAGTTCTGTTCTAGTTCTGTTCTAGTTCTGTTCTAGTTCTGTTCTAGTTCTGTTCTAGTTCTGTTCTAGTTCTGTTCTAGTTCTGTTCTAGTTCTGTTCTAGTTCTGTTCTAGTTCTGTTCTAGTTCTGTTCTAGTTCTGTTCTAGTTCTGTTCTAGTTCTGTTCTAGTTCTGTTCTAGTTCTGTTCTAGTTCTGTTCTAGTTCTGTTCTAGTTCTGTTCTAGTTCTGTTCTAGTTCTGTTCTAGTTCTGTTCTAGTTCTGTTCTAGTTCTGTTCTAGTTCTGTTCTAGTTCTGTTCTAGCTCTGTTCTAGTTCTGTTCTAGTTCTGTTCTAGTTCTGTTCTAGTTCTGTTCTAGTTCTGTTCCAGTTCTGTTCTAGTTCTGTTCTAGTTCTGTTCTAGTTCTGTACTAGTTCAGTTCTAGTTCTGTTCTAGTTCTGTTCTAGTTCTGTTCTAGTTCTGTTCTAGTTCTGTTCTAGTTCTGTTCCAGTTCTGTTCTAGTTCTGTTTTAGTTCTGTTTAGTTCTGTTCTAGTTCTAGTTTTGTTCTAGTTCTGTTTTACTTCTGTTCTAGTTCTGTTCTAGTTCTGTTCTAGTTCTGCTCTAGTTCTGTTCTAGTTCTGTTCTAGTTCTGTTCTAGTTCTGTTCTAGTTCTGTTCTAGTTCTGTTCTAGTTCTGTTCTAGTTCTGTTCTAGTTCTGTTCTAGTTCTGTTCTAGTTCTGTTCTAGTTCTGTTTAGTTCTGTTCTAGTTCTGTTCTAGTTCTGTTTTAGTTCTGTTCTAGTTCTGTTCTAGTTCTGTTCTAGTTCTGTTCTAGTTCTGTTCTAGTTCTGTTCTAGTTCTGTTCTAGTTCTGTTCTAGTTCTGTTCTAGTTCTGTTCTAGTTCTGTTCTAGTTCTGTTCTAGTTCTGTTCTAGTTCTGTTCTAGTTCTGTTCTAGTTCTGTTCTAGTTCTGTTCTAGTTCTGTTCTAGTTCTGTTCTAGTTCTGTTCTAGTTCTTTCTAGTTCTGTTCTAGTTCTGTTCTAGTTCTGTTCTAGTTCTGTTCTAGTTCTGTTCTAGTTCTGTTCTAGTTCTGTTCTAGTTCTGTTCTAGTTCTGTTCTAGTTCTGTTCTAGTTCTGTTCTAGTTCTGTTCTAGTTCTGTTCTAGTTCTGTTCTAGTTCTGTTCTAGTTCTGTTCTAGTTCTGTTCTAGTTCTGTTCTAGTTCTGTTCTAGTTCTGTTCTAGTTCTGTTCTAGTTCTGTTCTAGTTTGTTCTAGTTCTGTTCTGGTTCTGTTCTAGTTCTGTTCTAGTTCTGTTCTAGTTCTGTTCTAGTTCTGTTCTAGTTCTGTTCTAGTTCTGTTCTAGTTCTGTTCTAGTTCTGTTCTAGTTCTGTTCTAGTTCTGTTCTAGTTCTGTTCTAGTTCTGTTCTAGTTCTGTTCTAGTTCTGTTCTAGTTCTGTTCTAGTTCTGTTCTAGTTCTGTTCTAGTTCTGTTCTAGTTCTGTTTCTAGTTCTGTTTAGTTCTGTTCTAGTTCTGTTCTAGTTCTGTTCTAGTTCTGTTCTAGTTCTGTTCTAGTTCTGTTCTAGTTCTGTTCTAGTTCTGTTCTAGTTCTGTTCTAGTTCTGTTCTAGTTCTGTTCTGGTTCTGTTCTAGTTCTGTTCTAGTTCTGTTCTAGTTCTGTTCTAGTTCTGTTCTAGTTCTGTTCTAGTTCTGTTCTAGTTCTGTTCTAGTTCTGTTCTAGTTCTGTTCTAGTTCTGTTCTAGTTCTGTTCTAGTTCTGTTCTAGTTCTGTTCTAGTTCTGTTCTAGTTCTGTTCTAGTTCTGTTCTAGTTCTGTTCTAGTTCTGTTCTAGTTCTGTTCTAGTTCTGTTCTAGTTCTGTTCTAGTTCTGTTCTAGTTCTGTCTAGTTCTTTCTAGTTCTGTTCTAGTTCTGTTCTAGTTCTGTTCTAGTTCTGTTCTAGTTCTGTTCTAGTTCTGTTCTAGTTCTGTTAGTTCTGTTCTAGTTCTGTTCTAGTTCTGTTCTAGTTCTGTTCCAGTTCTGTTCTAGTTCTGTTTAGTTCT